TTGTTGGCACAGAGCGTGAGCAGGAGGCTGCGTGTCACACGTGACATAGTTGGAGCAGCCGTGGGGATCTCTCCAAGTCCGGCCATTTGGAAGCCAAGAACGACCAGTCTGGCCTTGGCGCTGCCGTCCCCTTTCACGGTGAGAACCCAGCACATGTCCATCACCTTGGTCGGATCGACCTCTGCTTCCTCAGACTCGGTCAGGGACCGGAGAGCTTTGGAGCTAAGAACGTTGCTGAGCTCCTTTGCTTGGGCCATGTCAAAGTTGACCTTCTCGTCCATCGAGAGCTGTGCCCATCGCACTTCTCGCCCTTTCTCTTGCATCTTGCGGGAGAGCCAAATGCTCGACTTCTCTGGAAACTCGGTCAGGTATTTGGCATCTGACGGAGAAATGGGGATTTCCAGAGCATAGAAAAACTGTGGGCCCTTTTGCACCTGAGTCATCTTCTCCATCTGAACCGATGTGCTCCTGTTGTAGTTGATCTGCGTCCCCTCATCTGGGATCATTTCATCTGAGCTATCGGAGGAGGAAGATGCTGACGATGAGGTGTCATCCATAGGCACTCGGGCACCTGATGAATTCATGGTGAACTTGCGACCAGTATCATCTTCGTGATAACCGGGATGTCCACCAAGCAAAACACATGCATCTTGGCTGCATCGTGGTCTTGCAGCCTCGGGAGTACCATCAACGGCATTCACTCCCTTCTCGCGGAGAGCCGATGTGAGTGGGCTCACCTCAGGCATCACCATCGGATTACTTGTGCCGGGATCTGCTGTTGCTGTAGCCGCTGTTGCTTGTTCCGCTGTTGCTGCTGGTGTTATCCCGGTCTTTGTTGATACTTCATCATCCTCGATGGTGTCTTTCGATGCCTGTATTGATGCCTTCCGCTTCCGACCCGGCCTTGTGGTCTTAGGAGCCTTGGATGCCCTTGCCACGCCTGGTGTCGAAGGTGCTGAGGTCTTGGGAGTTCTTGGCACTCTGGCAGCCGGTGTCGAGGGGGCTGCTGTCTTTGTCAGTTCAAGCCAAGTTTCTCCGACCCAGCGTTCTTGGAGTGAGCGACCTGGCTGGTCAGTTTCCTTGTAGTTATCTTCGATGGTGGTTGGCTCACTCTTGTCATGGATGCCACGGAGCTTTGTCCTGCGCTGTCCAGTGAGTTGGTCTTCATCCACCGGGAGTGCATTGAGCTTGCTGGGATCAAAGAGTCCGAGCCGTGGCATGGTATGGCATCGAATGAGCCATTTGCTGTCGCCCTCATAGCCGAACTTCCAAGAGTCGGCCTTGTACCCTTGAGCAGGTGCCTTCCTGACCCCAGCTGAACTAAGATCTTCTTGTTGTGCTTCAAGGGAAGGAGTCTCTCCGGTGACATCAGAGAAATGTCGACCGGTGAAGTTCCTGAGGAGCGACTCAAGAGTGACCGGCATCTTGATGATTGCCATGCCTTCCAGTGAGGCTTGAAGTTCTTCTCGGCGGGTGCATGGACGGACCTGCATAGTCCTTGCTCTGACAATGGATGAGCCGGATGCTAACCACAAGGTTTGTGACTCTTGTCGAAGAACTCGCACTGGACCTTGCCATCCTCCTGACACCTTGCCCGGGCGATTTCGCTGCCGCCATAGCATGACCAAGGAGCCCGGTTTGTGGGTAGCAATCTTGTGAGGGATGGTGTTGTTGAGCTTGCTCAAACGCTGTCGTGCGCTCTCCATCTCGTGAGCCACTCTTGCCTTCTCCTTGAGTCGAAGCATGCCGCCAAAGGCCTTCTTCGGATCGATGCCCAATGGGAGTCCCTCCATGGGAATTGAAGCACCTCTTGTCCATTGGAATGCTGAAAATCCAGAAGGGCCAATCGACTCATTCTGGCCGTGTGCAGCCAATGTGAAGGCAAGTTCCACCTCCATGTCTTCCACCTCCTTGAGCAGTCGTCCTGCTGTGCCCTTGAGAAGAGCAATCGCACCCTCCTCAGGTCCAAGAAGATGATGCGCTTCAGCAGGTGTCACCATGTGTCCAATGCCGCTTCTGCCGAGGAACTCGTCCATCTGCTCTGACGTAAAATACGTCGCCGAATCACTGAGCAGCCATTTTGGACTTGGGTTTGTCATCATCCAACGACCAAGGACCCGAATGATCACCTCAGTGTTGGGCTCCCATGCTGTTTCTCTTTCTTCATCAAGGCCTCCGTAGGTCTTCAGAAGCTCCACCATCATCAGACCGCTTGCTCGGTCACGGAGTAGCAGGAACTTATACTTGATGCTGTTGTGTTCATATTCAAAGACGTCAGTCCCGACTATCTCGAAGAGGGATGGTGTCTCATGAAGAGAGGCCACAGGTGTCGGTGGCGGCCTCTTGGCCTCGACGCAGTCTGGGCACTGCATTGATAGTGCCAATTCAATTGCCCATTGAGGTGCTTTCCGGATGCGAAGGAGCCTTGCCAGGTTGTGGAAGGATGCATGTCCCGATGACTTGTGGACACGAAGCATCTGGGCCTTGATGGCCTCCAATCTCTTCCCCGTGGGCGGTTCTTGAGGATACCGCTGGCGTGTGAGAGCGAAGAGATGTGGTTCTTCCTCTCGAACTGTTCGCTCGAAGTGAGCGTGCTGATCATTCTCAGCATCCGGAAACATGCCCATGACATCCTCCTGGAAGTTGTTGGCACCCTCATACTCGACAAGGTGATGTGTCACATCATTGGCCAAGCAAGTTCCGGCCTTTTCTTCCATGCGGCTCCATGATGCTGCAATGGCCTTAGTGACGGACTTCACCATGAGCTCGGGGTAGTAGCTCGATGCCTGGGCCACTTGGCCTCGACAGTGAACATGGTCAGTATGACCTGGACATCGTTTCTGGAGCGCCAGCCAAACTTCTCGGCATGTAGTGGCCACTGTCCAACTCTTCTGAACTGGGTGTCCTCGCCATGTCAGACCGTATGCACAGCCGTGGAAGTTGCACCAGTAGATGTGGCGATGGTGTTTGTGTGCCAACCTCACCAGTCTGTTGATGGCCTTGGAGGACCAACCTTTCTTGGCCGTTGTTGGCCATTCCCAGCTCAAGTCTCCTCCAGTCTCCAGGATGGGCTCGGCAGCTGAAACTACCTCATCTGCTCGACGAAGATCTCTTTGCTGCCGCTTCTGGAAATTTGCTTCTTCCCACTCATCTCGTTGAGTGAGGTTCACCAGACCAGTGAGTCTTGTACATGGCAGGCTCACCCATGCATGCTTTGGCGGTTCGGCCTTGATGTCATCGGCCAAGTGTCTTGTGCCTGCCTTAGTCTGCAGGTCATAGCCTTCCTTGAAGTTGATGCGCTTCACGTTGTAGCCCATGCCTTCCATGCTAGCAGACAGGGATGAAGTTGGAGCGCATGCAATCTCCATGAAGTCCGTGGATGTTGTGAGCTGTGCCATCAGACCTCGAACTGAAAGCATCATCGCTGCTCCGATCATGGCCGCATTGGCCGACATCTTGCGAGCTGTGGATGGTGGAATCCCAGCTCTCTTTCCTCCTCCAGGTCCAGGAGCGGGGAGCTCCAAAGTAGAAGATTGTTGGCTGCCGCCTTGAAATGGAGAGGCGCTGCCAAGGGTCTCAGGAAGACCGTGTCGTGACGTGGGGCTGGCTGCAATGCCATCCTCAATCGTGGTGCTCGTAGTGCATGTCGTCGTGGGCTCCGGCTTGGAGTGCCGGATGCGCTGCTGCAGGGCTTTCACTGATGCCCAGAGGGAGCTGAACTTTCCTTCTTCTTGTTCTTCACCGGCTCCTTCTCCTCCTCTGATGAGAAGATGTCCACAGCTTCCGGACCGAACAGGTGATGGTCCTTCGGCTTCTCCTCCTCCTTGATCTTCCGGCCCTGAATGTGCTCGAGGACCTTCTTCTTGAACTCTGCTGGATCCAAGGAGTCCATGCCGGTCTGCTCCAGCAAGTATTCCGACGCTGCCACCATCAGGAGTTCTGTCTGTGCCACTGGATCCTGCTTCTTCGGACTTGTCGGCTCGCGAGTGGCACTTGCCGAGCGGCTTGCAGGACTCTTCGGGCGCTCCTCGCACTCCGGTGGATAGCCCATGCGCTTCCTGTACTCCTTGATGGTCATGTTGATGGCCTGAGTCTGGGTCAGGCCTCGCTGCAGCTCCAAACCCTTCAGCTCCATGATCTTTCCATTGACCAGGTGCTCCGTGCATGCCGAAGTCGACGTGGATGCCCGGATCTGCTCCATGGCCAGAGCAACCAACCGTGGGTGTGGCCCCATGTGGCGAGTTTCGCCCTTGCTGTCCTTCTTCGGCTGGTAGTTGGTGCGAAGGCCACACACTGCGCATGCGCTCCACATCGCATGCTGGTTCTGTCGAACCTTGCCAGGCTTGTGATGTCCCTGGCACG